TGCGTTTTTCCATATATGCAAGTGCAAAACGCATGATGTGACAAAATATGGTGCGTGTATGTATGTTTGTGTGTATGTGGGTGCACGTGTTTGTGTGCTTGTATGTGTGTGCATCTGTCCGAGTGTTTCAACTCGGTAACTAAGCAAGCTTTGATATCGATATTTTGCCATTGGGTTTCCTGACCAAGCGGCATTCCAGGAACGCGGTATCATCCTTCAGACACATCTTGGCCTATGTAAATCACCTGAAAATTTTGACGGGGAAACTGTTAAGTGTTTCAGAAATTTTAAAATTGCAAACAGTGAATATCTCTGGCTAGGGAAATGGAAGAAGACGGGGGCCTGAAGTCTTCTGTGTGTTTTTGTTTGATGCTGTTAGCGCACCGTTGAGAGGAACACAATCAAATTTGACAACTGTGGAAAAACTAGAAGTGCCATTTACATCTCTCATATAAGCAAGCCTGTATGTACGTTGAGCTGTTATCCTGTCTGTTTTTTATCCCTGAGCTGTAAAAATAAACGGCAGAGTCGGTGTGGAATGATGGGAATCTTCAGTACAGTGCCTCATTCCGCCATGTTAAAAGGAAAATGTGAATTACCGAAGGGAGATGAAGAAGGAACTAGTAAAGCTGGAAAGCTGAAGTTTTAAGGGGATGTTGCCACGCACGTACAACATATAGATTTCAAATTCAGCCCCCACGTACGTGTAGAACCAAAAATTTTTGCGGAAAAATTGCCCACTGAAGAGCTAGGTCATTTTCGATGTACGACCGTTCAATGGAAATTGTTCATCTTCCGTTATGCAAAAATTATGCTGATTTAGACTAATGAGTATACACGCTAAATGCAAAGCAACAACCATTCATACTGTTAACGACCTGATTGCTTCAAATTTAGTGCAAAAGCGCCTAACTGCACCGATAAGCCTGCTGCATAAGTTGGTGTATTTCTGGTTCTTTTATAGGTTGCGAAAGCCACGAAAAAATGCTGGATTATTTGCGAAATTTGCCAGCAAAAGCATTTGAGCGTGGAATGTTTGGGCGCGGTGGTGTGGACACGAACAAGGTAGGTCTGGACTTGGCACCTGTCATTGATGGTTATTTTTTGCCGAAACCAATTGCTGAACTAAGAAAAGAAACGCCGGTCAAGAGTTGTATGGTTGGAGCTTGCCAACATGAAAGTCTTGTTTTCGGTTAGTTCATGTCGATTTCAGACAAATTTTTACTCAGCAAATGAGGAAATTGTACGCTTTTTAAAGAAAATCCTTTTGGCAGCAAAGAGTTTTGGAACGGTTTAGTATATAAAGCCCTTATCCATGACCGAAATTCTAAGTTCAAGCTAAGCTTAATATGATAAGCTTGTGAACTTTAAGCGTTACAAAAATATTTGAATCTAAAAAAAGGCAAATAATCTGTAAGTAGGTATTAATATTCTGCACTTGTATGGGAAGCTTCGAGCGCAGCTTTTTACAAGTGGATATGGATCGGGAGGGAATCGAACTTCACATCCCTACTTTCGTTTCATAAACATATCATCCAGTACGCTACTTACCGTTGTGCTCCACTCGCCAGCTGAAGCGTATACATCACAAGGAGCCTCGTATACTTTCCAAACGTCATCTGTAATTTTGTTCAGCTACACAATCAATGTTGATTGACGGATGACCAATTTAATGCACAACTTGACAGCCTGACACATTCGTAATTTTAGCGGCTCTGCTGCCAAGCGCATTTACGGCGCGCGGGATGGACAAGTTGTTGAGAACTTACATTCCGGAGGACAAGTATCCCAACTGCGAACAGCTGAGAGACAAAGCTAGGGAGTACTATTTAAATGATGTGGACACAGCGAACAAACTCTCCGTTGCTAAAGCATATGATAAGGTTTGTTTCAATTGCATGAAATTAATACTCCATAACTATGGTATCGGTTTCAACTACCTATTCATTTCCCATGTATTGAAAAAACTTGGAATATGAAGTCATAGGCAGAAAAACATAAATGTATAAGAAGTCGGCACAAATCATTCGCACTGCTGCTTTTGTTGCTTTTCTTTATCTCACAAATCCGAGTCCAAGCAAATTCATTGATGGGAGTAGCAGCCGGTTAGGCAGTGACAAAACACAATAAATTCCAAAATTTTGGCGGCTTCAGGCATCCGAATAGACAGTGTGACGTTGCTCTGCTCGGGCAAGTTTGGAAATTACAAATTAGGGTTAGTATGAACAAGGAAGTAGCGAAGTAATCACACAAAAAAAATTTACACATAAAAAATAAGGCATGGCGTTGAGAAGCACCGTCGGGCTAATTGGTGAAAAAATACATTAAGTAGAAACTTATCTTTTATGGGCCAGCACCGTATTGCGCAAAACTTCATTGAGGTACCAATCTCCTAGCGTCAATGCGTAGGACGTTCGTGCAATTTCTTTTCCGCTAGGATTTCATCAAGCATTCCTTTTACTCATTTCACATTAGCTCTTGGCAAAATAGTAGAATAGGAGGACTGGACTTAAGTGCCATGTACCGGAGAACATTTTATGATGCAGTCTATGTTTCATCCTTTAGCTGTAAAGCGAACTATGCATGTGGGTAAGAGCAAGAATCATCAGTACAGCCTCCTAACTACCCTGCACTGAACAGTCATGTAACTAATTTGCAAGACGTATATACGAAAGAAAAAGAAAACAGAGAGAGAGAGAGAGAGCGAACAGAGTGAGTAGGAAAGAAGGAAGAAGTTCCCCAGTAGAGAATGCCTACCTGTTACCCTATAGACGCATGCATGCGATTTTTACCAATGATAAGCCATCGGTTGACCGATTATAATCAGAAACTGATGAAACGAATGATCAGTGGGATAAGTAAAGAGAAAACAAGTGAATGTCCAAATGCTTGCCGATTGTATTGCAGCTTTACAGTGATTTGTTCGTGAATAATGCGGTCAGTGAGTATGCTAAAAAGATGACATCTCTCGGGCACAACGTGTACCTCTATTCGTTCGATCACTTCAATCCGAAAAGTTTCGGATTACTGTCACTACGGGTCCCTTTCAAAGGTACCATTTCATGGACTTCTGATCTCAATAAATTCAAAAATTTTAACATTTTTAGAACGTTCTTAACGCAGTAGCATCCAGCATAGCGCTAAGAGGCTCCCGCAGTGTGGGCGTATGGCAAACGTTGATGAACTTTGGGTTGCTTTTTCCTCCCGCTACCAATTTGCTTCTAAGTTTTTGATCGGCTGCAAGTTATAGTGTGGTAGGTAGCAGGCTGCTGCTACTCAGTGAAGCTTGTATGTGTCACTGCACTGTTTGATTTCTTCAGTTAAACGCAGTGAGTTTTCATTCTAAAGTATTATGCCGAATACTGAATAGCTTCCGATGACGGCAAATACATCAGGATACTGAGATTCTAGTATCTAAGCAAAACTGCTATGGAAGCCTTGTTGGCGCATGTCAAAAAATAGAATTTTTGCTATTTTTTTAGCCGACAACAACTACGAATCGTTCTTTTTTTTTCAGGTGCAACACACTGCACTGAAATATCGTACATATTTGGAGTGAGTATCATTTTCTCATTCAAATACACGAAGATGGATGAGCAAGTGAAGCATATGACCGGCAAACTGTGGACAAATTTTGCCAAATTTGGGTATACCCGTTTTGTCCATTAAAAAAATCACTAGCTGTGTAACGCACTTAGAAAGCATTTTCTTCGCAGCATAAATTCGTCAGCTCGAGCTACAAGTTGTCTGTGACCATTTCATAAGATCAGAGTAAATGTTACAGCTTGTGATAACGTAAGTTCAAGCACCCCATGGCTTTTCGATTTTATCCTCCCAAACGCTACGACTACTGCTTTTTATGAAGAACGGTCACTAAAGTGGAATCGATTCCACATCTGATTTCATAATTCGCCTCGGCGGATGCTCCCGCTGCTTCTCCGGAGAACCAGAATTGGGTATCGTCGTCAGCCACAAGTAGGATCTGTTAGACCTAGTGTCGGGGCCGCACGGGAAGCCTGGAATGCTCAGACGGCAACCTGAGATACGAAAGACCTTGCTTTCCTTCGAGCAGTCGCGCGGTAGACAGTAATGCTACACAGTTCTCACCAGTAAGGAAAATAGTGCCACCTTAAAGAGCATCTTCCACAGCACCAGCCTTGTCAAGATACAGTGTAGGACAACATGGTACCTATAGGCTACTAGTTCCAAAACCGCCCCCTCCCTCCCTGTTTTTCCGCTCCCCGCCTCTCTCCCTTCCTCCCTCTCTTAGATAACGGCAAAATACGACCTCCCACCCCAATCCTACTTGTTTGGTGTGTTGAAAACACAAATTTCTTTCCGACCTTGAATTTTTTTTTGGAGTTTCATATTATTATTATAATTAACCTCAATTGCTCTTGTCAACTAGAGGTAACAATAGGTATATTTATGCAATGGCAATAATAAAAAAGTAAAAACGGTGGAAGGTAAGGTCTGACGTTGGCAGACGGCATCCTGATGTTGGTAGACGGCGTCCTGGTCGGTGC